CTTTTTTTTTTTTTTGGTACCGGGGATCGAACTCCGGACCTTGAGCTTGCGAGGCAGGCGCTGGAATCACCAAGCTAAATACCTGGTTCCTAGATGCTTCTTTTTTCAAGGGAAGGTGAAATAAACTCTACTGGATTGAACTGAGATTCTTTTTTTTTTTTTGGTACCAGGGACTGAACTCAGGACCTTGGGCTTGCAAGGCAGATGGCAGCACCACTCAGCTAAATCCCCGGCCATGAGATTCTTAAGTAGTGTAACATGACCTTCCTATCCAAAGCATCCTCTGTTTAACAAAACACTTAAAACTCATGAAAAGAATGGTAAAACTGCACTGTGCAGATAAAAGCTGAGAACACACATCTATATATACATATGCACCAACTGACCTTTTCAGCAGCTCTGGGGAGGATATGAGTAAGGCAAAACAAAACAAAAAAGTAGTATCAAGTATCTACCATTCATTTATTGTACTTTAAATATTAACAAGCAAAAACTAATGGCTGCAAATATTTTTTAAAAAATCATGCCTGGTCTTAATTACTTTAGGTCAACTTTTCCAAACTCACACAGGTAAGTGAGGGATGGCTACCATGTTTGAGAAGGGTGAAAGCCCTGACTTTGAATTCTGATTCAATCCAGGGTTTGAGATGTATGTATTTGAAAACAGGAGAAAAATAAGGATATAAACTTCTTCATAAATGTTTCTTTCCTCAAATTTCACTGTACTGAGTTTCATTATCTGTACCTATTTCTTTAATTATTTCTAACCCTGGCACAATTTTTAACATTTTCATGTTTATTTTTGCTCCTTTGTTAGTATCAAGTTATTTCAAAATATTTTCTAAAGTTTTCATCCACTGATTTTAAAGTACAGCATTTCTAAACTCTTATTGTAATGGTGACTTATGTAGATGTTTTACTTGAATGACAAAATATTTCCGTTTGGAAATGTTTATTTTTCAATTAAAAGTTAAGGTATAATCTTAACTAGGTATTCCACTTACAGTGGTACCTCAGTTCATGAACTTAATTTGTTCTGCGATTTTGGAAAAGATGGCCATGTTTGTGTTTGTGCGGGAAAGATGGACACAGTTGTGTTTGTCACCTTTTACAGTTTGCAAACAAAAACAAAATTTTGTCAAACACTTTTGTTTATGAACCAAACTGTCTGCAAACAAAAGCATTCCTGGGGCTGGGGATTTAGCTCAGTGGTTCTGCTGCCTGCCTTGCAAGCACAAGGTCCCAAGTTCGATCCCCGGTATCAAAAAAAAAAAAAAAGCATT